GTATAGCCCCTGGGCTTTTTGCTTTCCATGAGTAAGGACGTAAGTATGTGGTTTCCCCCACCCTACTCTTTCCACAGGCCACTGGGGGCCTAGCAGCTCCAGCACCTCCCCTATCATGTTACAGGCCCGAGACGTGGCTTCCAGTGCCTACTGTGAAACAGTCTCTTCACCCTTGGCATTAAACATGTAGAGAGACCCAACATGTCTTCAGACCCAGGGAAATCATGTTGACCAGCATTCAGTACCTCCTTTCAGAACTGCAGAGGAATCTGTCTGTCCCATGCGTGTGAGAGAAAGAGGAGTTTCAGGCCACGGACAACTAAAGAGGAGACAGAGACAGTGGGAGTCAGCGCTGTGGGGATGAGCAGCGCACAGCTGGCCGGCTGCTGGGAACTGTTGGCTAAGGACGTAGCACTGCCACTTAACTGCAATCCCGGGATGAAGTCCCAGGAATGGCCTGGACTTCTGAGTCAGGACAGTCATAGACAGGAAGGCAAGACAGGCATTTGAGGTAGGAATTATAGTTTACAAATTTCATCCGTGAGTCTCTAGCATCTAGAGCTGTGCCTGACACATACAAGGCCCATGATAAATACTGAGTGATTTAATAGAGGAATGAACGAATGATTTCACACACGACTATGACCTCATTCAATCGGCAAAGTGAGGCACAAGCAAGGCAGGCGTTGCCTCTTTTTGTCCATGGGCAACTGAGACCCAAAGGATTAACTATCTTGCCTGAGGTCATTCAACTTGGATGTGGCTGACCTGTGGCTAGACACTGTACTCTATACACAGTACTAAGTTGAACATTCTTGGTATAGCAACCCAGGAAAACATCCTGTGACTCGACATGAACTTCCCTTTGGGTCCTGCTAGTCAGAAAATAGCCCTTCAGTGGGCCAGCTTCCTGGACACAGTCTCAGGGCCAAGTTCAGCATCCTGGTCTTCCTTCCACACTTGGCATCTGCCTGCTTTTTTATGAGTCTCTCCAGGAAACCGCGCCTCTCCATTAGTCTCTTTTGCCACATCTAATGTGACAGGTCTGGACTGCTGAGATGTGGAAGCAGGAGGTTGGTGGTTTTACTCTGAGAGTCCAGAACAGAATGAAACCACATATATTCAGTTCCTTATTTTCTCACACTTGACAGAAACTTCAGATACCCTAGACCACTAAGTTAGTTTCAGGAATTCAGGCAAGAGACTAACTCATATTATAGCCAGGCCTCCCGGGAGCTGAGTTCATAATCTGAGGTGTGTTTCCAGAAAGAAGTCTCCAAAGCCAGCAAGAGGGCTCACCTGAGCAGGAACATCTTGCATCATCTGATCCTTCTCTTCAGAGTCTTCTGTTCTGAATCCTTTTCTTTGGAGGCAGTGAGGTATAGAGCACAGGACCAAAGATCAGAAAATCTGGGTTCTAGTGCTTGCTTTGCCACTTATCAGTTATGTCTCTTCTCTCCACCTCATTTTCCTCATTTACAGAATGGGAATAACAATTCCCAGCTATGTAAGGCAGCTCTGAGTTTAAAGAGGAATGGTTTGTATCAAGGTGCTTTTTAGCAAAAGACAGAAATTATGTCAGTACTATTTTTTTTATGGCAAGGAAAAAAAGAAAAGACAAAGAGAAGGAGGGAAACTTCTCGGATGCCCCAGAATGCTTCGTTCTCACTTGTTCATGGATTCCTTCACAATAAAGCACCTAGGTGAACAAGGCGTGCATCAGGTGCTGAGGGAGAGAAAGATACTTAAGATGTAGTGTCTGCCCTAAAAGAATTAAAAGATGACTGTGCACCAAAAGATGAACACAGATTTCAGAGAGCATCAAAGGTCACAAAGTGGAAAAGAAATTCTTTCTTCACCGAGGCTCTAGGATTGTTCAACCAGGTGAAGAGGCCGCAACAGGAAGGAGGGGGAAGAGGAGTGTCATGGTGCATAACGGTCTCCTAGGCTCTTTGTCCGGGAGGAAATGAGGTCATCCTGCTCTCAGAATCAGCATGACAGCCTCCAGCCAAGTAATCTGAAGTCATGAGAGCTGCCGGGAGAGTGCTGTGAATCACAAGAGTCAGCTGGGAATTTCCTGATAACTAACCTACAAGTTTCGGGGTAAGTCCTCAGGCTGCAACGTCTCTGTTTACATTTTGATCACGTTTATTTACAATTAGTGGGTTCTAACTCCAAACAAAACACCACAATCTTCTAGAGGAAGTAGCAAGGCTGGTTCAGAGGCCTCTAGCTTTCTGACTCAGTACGTGAGGCTGGCAGTTCAGAGCTGCGCACAGAAAATCTCTCACCGGCCTCACAAGCTGGAGAGTGAGCTTGTACCTACCCCAGGCAGAGGCCGGACTCCTGAGACCTCTGGCTGGAGCAGAGCGAAAAGGCTTTCCTTCTTGCTGCTCTCCTGGTACTGTCCTACCCCTCTCAGGTGAACCCACACCCAAGGTCTAGGTTTGCCAGGCACCAAAATGCTGTAGGCCTCTGGTGGCTCAGACAGTAAAGAATCTGCCTGCAATGCGGGAGACCCAGGTTTAATCCCTGGGTTGGGAAGATCCCCTGGAGAAGGGAATGGCTACCCACTCCAGTATTTTTGCCTGGGAAATCCCATGGACAGAGCCTACAGTCCATGGGATGGCACAGAGTCAGACATGACTGAGCCTTTAACAGTCAGACATGACTGAGCCTTATGCCTCTTTGGGCCTCCCCGTGGGCCCCCTCTCCTAAGCCTTGGGAGGATTCAGCCTCCTACCCTTCCACTGAGGTGACAGGGAGATTCAGGTGACCCCAAGCCCTGGTTCCCAACACTAGGGGAAAGGGATGGGGGTGACTGAACTTCAGAGTCCCTACTGTGGTTCTTCAGCTCTGCCTGAGAGATACGTGTATATGCATGGACTTGTGTGTGTGTACACAACCGTGCACTTGCCCTCAGGCAGGAAGCATAAGTAGAGTTCTTTACACATGGTCTTTCTGAAGACCAATCTTACTTGATGAGCAATTATTTTATCTTACTAGAAACAAGGTTTTATGATATAGAATACTAAATAAACATGCATTTAAAACTGTAATTATCTTTGTGGAATGGCTGATATACAAGGATATGTTAAAAAAAATTTAAGAGTGTAAAAAGCCATATAGTGAAAAATAAATCTTCCTATTCTTGTCCTCCAGTTTCCCAATTCCTTTCCTCAGAGGTGAAAACAGAAGTTTCTACATTAAGAAGGCTTTATTCTTCCATTGTCTTTATTAAGTGACAATACTATGGATGGTTCATTAGAGGAACTTCCTGGAAGACACATCAAAACTTCAATAGAAAGCATCGACAGTTTGTGCCCTAAGACTTTATTCTCACGTGCGTGAGTGTAAAATCGCCTCAGTCGTGTCTCTTTGGAACTTTATGGACTCTAGCCTTCCTGTGTCATCTCTCTATGGAGATTCTCCAGGCAAGAATACTGGAGAGGGTTGCCATGCCCTCGGGGGATCCAATCCAAGTCTCTTATGTCTCCTGCATTGGCAGATAGGTTCTATGCCACTAGCGCCACCTGGGAAGCCCTGTTTTCACAATCCTACAAAATCATAGCAGGATTCTTATTCAGTCCTTACCAAGCCCTCACTTTCAAATCAAGCCCTCACTTTCAAAGACCTCCCTTAAATCAAACTGCAAAAGGGAGAGTCGCTCAGTCCTGTCCAACTCTTTGTGACCCGTGGACTAATCCACGGAATTCTCCAGGCCAGAATGCTGGAGTGGGTAGCAGCCTTTCCCTTCTCCTGGGATCTTCCCAGCCCAGGGATCGAACCTGGGTCTCCCGCATTGCAGGCGGAGTCTTTACCAGCTGAGCCACAAGGGAAGCCCAAACTGCAAGCTCTCAATAAAATCTGATGCCCTCCCCCACCGCCTGTCACGACCAAACTGCCTTACTGCAGTAAGCAATAAACTCAGCTTGTCTTATCCACTGGTTGTGTTGATTTTGGAGAAGCCGGCATACTACAGGGGCAGCCCCAGTAAGCAGTGGGGTGCGGCTGGGGGGTCTGCTTCAGCGAGCGTGCATTTTCACATTGAGAAAGACTTCACACATCGCTTCTCGGCCTTTTGGCTACAATCAAGTGAGAAAGACTTCACAGCTGTTTGAGCTGCGGGCTCTGCCCCTAAGCCCAGGGGTCCGAATCGCTGTCCTAGGCAGTTGGAGGCCGAGGGTGGAGAAGAGCTGGTTTACTGGAGGGGAGAGTATCCCTAGCGCCTCTCCTTCTGGCAATTCGGGAGGTTGAGGGATGCTGCACCCAGCGGGCCCAGGCCAGGTGAATGGAAGGAGCGGGCGGTGAATTTCGTTACCTCTTCATCTCTAGGTGCAGACCTGGTTCGTCCCCTCCACTGGGGACCGCGCTGCCCCTCAGTCTCGGCTGTGGAAGCCTGCTGGGTCCAAGTGGCTGCGGGCCCGCAGGGAAGGGGCGGGAAGGGAGCGGACGGGGCGATCCGGGCTGGGGCGGGGCCAGAATTGGGGCGAGTCCTAATATAGAGCCTGCAGTGCCGGCTGGCAGCACAGCGCAGAGACTGGAGCCCTAGACCTCGGCGGAGCATCAGACTGCCTACAAGTCCCCACAGTCCCGGTCCTGCGCCCCTCTGGCCGTAGCCGCGGGTGAGTGTGAGCCTGCCTGAGAGCGCAGAGATGCTGGGGACCCCGCTGCTGCCGGCTTTACTTCCCCTTACCGGCTGCCCCGGCTCGGCTGCGTCTGCGCGCTGAGTCACCGCGCCCCGTGCCCATGTGTCCCTCTGCAGCGGCGGGTCCAGGCTGCGCCACGACCCCCTGAACCTCCAAAGAGGGGAGACGGCCAGGCCTGGGGAGCCAGGTCACCGCGGGCTCGTCCCGCAGGGAACCTAGGGTCTCCAGCCCTGAACTGCAGTAATCCACCCAGTCCGCCTTCTTGCTTCTCCGCTTCTTCCCCTGACTTCTCCTTCCCCTGACTTCTTCTTCCCATGCAGAGCCTCTGTCTAGAGCCCCAGCCTTGCCACCATGAGGGTCCTATTGGCATGCCTGCTCGTCTGTGCCCTGGTCGTGAGCGACTCCGAAGTGAGTGGCTTCCCTGCTTTGACTCTAGGTGGCGGGAGGCGGCTTGCAAGACCCCCCGAACAGCGCAGGGGAAGGGGCTGCATAGGGAGCTGGAGTCCTCCAAAATTCATCAACAGTAGGGCCAAACAGGGGAAAAGGACAGGTGTGGCATTGGGGCCTTGAGAACTGGGGAGCTTGTACTTGCTGGCAAGGGAAGAAGCCGCAGGGACTGCCCCAACTTGCTGGCACCCGATTTGTGAAGCTTATTTGAGTCAGTCCATTTCTCCCTGCTGGAAACCTATGATCTTCCATATGAGGGCTAGCTAGACATGAACAGGGTGAGGAGAGAGGCAACTGGAGGGAGGGTGAGTTTTGGGATTGGAGCCAGTTCATCTTCGCTCCGGGGTCTCAGGAACATGGAACCTTGGTTGAACTTTCTCTCCCCCACTCCCCTATCTCTTCTAGGGCAGCAATGAAATTCATAAAGAGTCTGGTGTATGTGAGTATCCATGCCTTGCACAGATATCTTGGAAAAGCCTCAAGGGGCAGCCCCTCCCTGTTCTTGCTTCAAGGCTTGTTCTCCCCAGGCCTACTCCCATGCTCCTTGCTTACCCTCCAACCTTTGTGTTTTCCAGCGAACTGTGACTGTCTGAACGGAGGAAAGTGTGTGTCTTACAAGTACTTCTCCAACATTCGGCGATGCAGTTGCCCAAAGAAATTCCAAGGGGAACACTGTGAGATAGGTATGGGGGTCCTGACTCTAACTGGAAGGGGGCAGGGGATACCAGTGATTTGGGGGTAGGGAGACATGGGTGGGAAGCAAGAGCAGGCAGGAGTTAGGAGGTGGAGTGGAGGGCATCTTCACCCCCATGTGATGTACAGTGAACACACACTGTCTCGTGAAGCTGGGGCTGCCCAAATGTAAGATAGGGGTGGAAAGAGACCCTCTCTAGGATCTTCTACCTCACTGATATCATCTGAGGCCTGGCAAGTTCTCTAAAATACCTGTCTGAACTTCCTTCTCTAATACTCTCATCCCCACATTCTTCCACAGATACATCGAAAACCTGCTATCAGGGGAACGGTCACTCTTATCGAGGGAAGGCCAACACAGACCTCAGAGGCCGGCCCTGCCTGGCCTGGGACTCTGCCACCGTCCTTCTGAAAACGTACCATGCCCACAGACCTGATGCCATTCAGCTGGGCCTGGGGAAACACAATTATTGCAGGTAAGTGGTAAGTGGGGGTAGCAAGGACCTTCCTCATGGCCTCACAGAAACCCTTGTTACTATCCTGTTTGCCAAGTGCTGGCCATAGTGTGAGAAAATCAAGGCCATTGGTTGAGTCTTCTCTGAAGGGGAAGATACAGAAAAGGCAAACTGGCTTGGAGTGACACCCTCCTCCCCTCTGTGTGGCCAGGAACCCAGACAATCAGAGAAGGCCCTGGTGCTACGTGCAGGTGGGCCTAAAGCAGTTTGTCCAGGAGTGCATGGTGCAGGACTGCTCTGTTGGTAAGTGTCACTGGCCTGTTTATGATGGTGGGGTGGAAGGTGACAAACTCCTATGTTCCCTTATTGCATCACAGGAGGGATGAGGAGGGAGGCCTGCCTGGCCCTGAAAACTGGGTGGTCAGAGGACCAGGAGCAAAACACTTTATCCTACCGCCCTCCCCAAGACATCCCTTTCTTTCTCCTTCAGGAGAAAGTCCCTCCTCTCCTAAGGAGCAAGCAGAGTTCCAGTGTGGCCAGAAGGCTCTGAGGCCTCGCTTTAAGATTGTCGGGGGGGAATTCACCACCATCGAGAACCAGCCTTGGTTTGCAGCAATCTACAGAAGGCATCGAGGCGGCTCGGTCACCTATGTGTGCGGTGGCAGCCTCATCAGCCCCTGCTGGGTGGTCAGCGCCACACACTGCTTCATGTACGTTCCTCGTTTCTTGTCCCTGACCCTTCTGCCTAAACTAATCCCTTCCTCCTTCCCAGTAAAAGATTCCCCTTATTTCTAATCCCTCAGTCTCTCTCTATATGACCCATGGCCTTGGGGAGAGGTGATGCTCTCAGGTCATTGTGGCGGGGAGGGGGAAGTGACAGGACCTCACCAGATCAGACTGTCTGACAGATCTCCCCACAGTGATCACCCAAAGAAGGAGGACTACATTGTCTACCTGGGTCGGTCAAGGATTAAATCCCACACACTTGGGGAGATGCAGTTTGAGGTGGAAAAGCTCATCCTGCATGAGGACTACAGTGCGGACACTCTTGCTCACCACAATGATATTGGTGAGTGGAAAACCCTCATCTGCCTAATGATGATAGCTGGGAGGAGGGGGATCTGGGGTTGTAGCAGAACTTGAAGACCCTGCTTTAAAGGGAGTGGTAGGGAAGGGTTCGGAGTGAAAAACATGAGAGGCCTGGTACTCCTCTATAGAGTCCCTGAATTTCCAAACAGGTGAATTTCCTCTGGGTGGCAATAGCTTGAACTGGGATGCCCTTTCCGTTGTGGGATGGAGCCTCTGTCTGTCCCAGGATATAGAACTTGGAGAGGGTATTGGGGCTGGTTTCAGCCCAACTACCTCTGCCAGGGCTTTTTGCAGGAAAAAAATCCATACAGCTGTATGCAGTAGCCCTGGCTGTCTAAGCCTCTGTCAGCAACTGGAACAAAACCCTTGAGGCATGGAATAGAAGAGGCTTGTTTTAGGTGACAGGCTACCAGCAGACCTCCCAGGATCCCCTCTGACCTTAACTGATGCAGGAAAAGACAGCCTCAGGGTTTGGAGGGGAGTGATGGTAACCCCCTAACCACGTGGTGATCTTTCTCCTCTGCCTCCTTCCTGCTCCCCTAGCCTTGCTGAAGATCCGTACCAACAGCGGCCAATGTGCACAGCCCTCCCGGTCCATACAGACCATCTGCCTGCCCCCACTATATGGAGATGCCCGTTTTGGCACAAGGTGTGAGATCACTGGCTTTGGAAAAGAGCATCCCTGTAAGTGACATTTGGGTCTGGCTGAGAGGGTCCTGGGCAAGTGTTGTAGCCTGGAAGTGAGCTCAGCTTGATCAAGAGAGGACTGTGGAGAAAGAGATGGGAGAATGGTGGAAGCAGCAGATGGGTCCAGGGATGGAGTGGGGAGCATTATTTAGGAACTGATGAGCCATAAAATTAAATGGGTGAGGGGTGAGGGACTACAGGTGGGGTAAAGATGTAGATTTTGGGTGGGAAAAAAATAAGGGCTTTCCCTGGTAGGGACACTTTTTGGTCCCCTCCCTGACAGAGTCCCGCTGTGCAGACTGGACATACACATCTTAACATAAATTCCTCCCTGTTTCCTCCATCCAGCTGACTATCGCTACCCAGAGCAGCTGAAAATGACTTCTGTGAATCTGGTTTCCCATGAGAAGTGTCAGCAGCCCCACTACTATGGCACTGAAGTCACTGACAAAATGCTGTGTGCGGCTGACCCACAGTGGGAAACAGATTCCTGCCAGGTGAGAGTTCCAAGCATCTCTCTCCATCACCCTGGTCTCCCAGGGTTTCTGGGCTTTTTCCTATCAACTTCGGGGAGTCTTCCTCCAGTCAAAGTCCCAAGAAGCCAGGACCAGGACTGGGGTTCCAAACATTTGTCAAGAGCCTGGCTCTGTGCTAGGCACTTCAGACTAAGAAAGGGACAGGGACTAAGACCATAAGAAAGAGAAAACAATAGAAAATAATACAATGCAGTGCTCAGAGTGTCGTGTGAATTATAATTGATCAGCTGTTTAGGAGAAGGAGGTGAGCACCAACTAGGTGGTCATGGCGGGGAGTGCTTTAGAAAGAATGTGACTCTTAATCCGTAGGAATTTGATGGGGAGGCAGAGAGAAGACTAGAGAGTATTTCAGTTTGCAAGATACAAAAATGAGAATGACCATGGCATATCTTGGGATGGGAAGGAGAAGTATAGGGTCTGAAAATGTAGATGGAATTGTAGACAACAGGACTTTGAAAGGCAAGCAGAGGATTTTTAAACCTGATGTAGGAAGTTGGGAGTCACTAAGGGCTTTGACTCTAGGAAGCTCTCTTTTCTCTCTTTGGCATGATTGACCCCCTTCTCACTTCTCCTAGGACTCACCTTTTGTGTCTTTGGCTTAACAGGGAGACTCAGGGGGCCCGCTGGTCTGCACCATCCAAGGCCGCCTGACCCTGACTGGGATTGTGAGCTGGGGCCGTGAATGTGCCATGAAGGACAAGCCAGGAGTCTACACAAGGGTCTCAAAATTCCTGCCCTGGATCCACACTCACACCAGGGGAGAGATTGACCTTGCTCTCTGAAGGACCCTAGAGAACCAAGGAAAGCACCACCCACTCCCATGCTGACCGTCATCTTTGCAGTAGGGCCAGCTGCACAGCTATATATAAGGAAGAGACTGAGGAAGATGGACTCTGCAGAGGTGGTTTTGCTTGTGCTGCCCCCAGGGTGAATGACAGTAGACTTACCCTCAGATATATAGTCTGGGTGCTGGACGCCCAGATCCTTCCTGATCAGGATGGAAGGGTGGTCCTGAACCAGGATAGTATTGTCCATTTCTGGACTAAAGCTTCCTGGAGTTAAAAATGGCATCTCCTGTGCATAGGTGGAAGGAGACCCAGCTCCCTGGCAGTGGGCCATTTATGAGGCCCACTGTTGGGAAATGAATAATTTCCCAATTAGGAAGTATAACATAACTGAGGTCTCTTGAGAGAGCTCAACCAATGAAAGAACAATGGTTTGGAGAGTAGAGACACTAATGACTTGAGGGAAGGGCTCTGACATTCCATGAATGTATCAGGAAATGTTACATTTGCGTGTATATGTTTGCACACTTGTGCTCAAGCTGTGTCAGTGTAACAGCTGGTGTTCTATGTCTGACTGCAAGTCTAGATACTTCCCCAAATTGCCTGGATGTGACATCATACAGAATAGCCTGTTTGGAGAAGTTGTGGGTCACTCCTGGGGCCTCTTGGGCCTCCCAGGTGATGATATGTATAAATGTATCATTCTGGGGCACAGACTGTGAGAAGCACTAAATTTGCAGTTTCAGTTTCATATGGATATTTTCTTGGCCAGTTATCCCTTCTGACCTTCTAGCTGAGTTCATCCAATCCTCGCTGAGTGAGGTGAGGACCACTTCTGTACACTGAATATTTAATAATTATATTCTGGTATTTTTATTTATATCTATTTTTGTAATTTTGAATAAATATGATCAATCAAATGTGATATTTCTGAAGATTTTGGCTCTTTCCTGGTGCTTGTATGGGAGGGAATTGGGAACATAAAAAGTAGAAGATGACGATGGTGGAATGCATCCCAGGGATTCCCATGGGGCTATATCTTGGACTTACTGGGCCTTTGGGAAGGAGAAGCTAGGAGAGTTGTAGAGCAAATCCTCCATAGCACATAAGGTACAAAAAGGTGCCCCAGGGACTTCTGGCAGTCCAGTGATTAAGACCCTGCCTTCCAATGTAGGAAGTGCAGGTTCGATCCCTGGGGAACTAAGATCCCACATCTGGTGGTATGGCCAAAAAAAAAAAAAAGGTGCCCCAAGCCAGAAGTCCACAGCTTGATAAATGGTGTGCAAGCTTTGTCAACTCTCTGTTCCCTCCTGAGCCTGATGCCTTTGGACAGTGCACATCATATTCAACTTTACACGTGATCCTCTTTAGGATTGCATGTGCACTAAGTCGCTTCAGTTGTGTCCAACTCTTTGAGACCCCATGGATTGTAGCTGGCCAGGCTCCTATGTCCATGGAACTCTCCAGGCAAGAATACCAGAGTGGGTTGCCATGCCCTGCTCCAGGGTCTTTAGGATTAGCCTTACCATATTCTCTTCATTCTTTCCCCAACCATCCTTGAGCTGAATTCACCAAAGCGGGAGACATGTACAAGTTGCTGATCCAAAACCCAGCCCAGCTTGAGTTGGTGGTATTCAGGAAACAGAAAACGTAACTTCCCATAATTTTTGTATGAGGCTGGTGCTGAGTTTCCCTGGTGTGTTAATGAAGTTCATGACCAGGCTTTCCTATCCTCAATATTAGGAAGTTTGGAATCTAAAGCTGAGTGATATCCTGATGTATGTATACACGTATTTTGAACCAAGCATCAACTTCTTAAAGATTGGATGTAAAGGCAAGCCAGGAGTTATAGCTGGATGCCAAAATACTGAAATTTCCAAGGTATGTTAGTGAGTTTTGGCAGTGTTTCTTTACTGAGTCACCTGAGAACTTTAAAAATAAATAGTCTATGCTCCACCCACAGAGGCTATGATTCAGGTCAGGACTGGTGCCAGGGCTCGTGATTTTATTTTATTTATTTATTTATTTTTTAAAGGGGCTCGTGATTTTAGAAAAATTCCCCAGTTCTAACTGTTGCTTCTGACCTGCATACAGATTTCTCAGGAGGCAGGTAAGGTGATCTGATATTCCCATGTCTTTAAGAATTTTTCACAGTTTGCTGTGAACCAATGAGGAAACAGGCAAAAAAGGTTAAGAGTTTTTCCCAAGTCATACAGGTATCTAATCTGGGCCACCTGACTCCAAAATCCATGCTCTGAACCACTGGATCATAATGAATGAAACATGCTACATTATGGGGATTAAAAACTGAATGCTCTGGGTCCTTGCCTTCCAGGTGTCCATGGTCTAGAGAGTATCTGAACAGGAAGACTAGGAGACCTTGTACCTTCAAACCCTTCTCAGAAATCTAACTGTTCATGAAGAGAACATATGCTGACCACATCTTGAATTTACTGAGCCCTTCACATAATCAGGCCAATTGCAACAGTTAGAACTGGACATGGAACAACAGACTGGTTCCAAATGGGGAAAGAAGTACATCAAGGCTGTATATTGTCACCCTGCTTATTTAACTTATATGCAGAGTACATCATGTGAAATGCCAGGCTGGATGAAGCACAAGCTGGAATCAAGACTGCCAGGAGAAATATCAATAACATCCGATATGCAGATGACACCACCCTTGTGGCAGAAAGCAAAGAAGAACTGAACAGCCTTTTGATGAACATGAAAGAGGAGGGTGAAAAAGTTGACTTAAAACTCAACATTCAAAAAATGAAGATCATGGCATCTCATCCCATCACTTAATGGCAAATAGATGAGGAAACAATGGAAAAAGTGAGAGACTGTATATTTTGGGGCTACAAAATCACTGCAGATGGTGACTGTAGCCATGGAATTAAAAGATGCTTGCTCCTTGGAAGAAAAGCTATGACAAACCTATAAAGCATATTAAAAAACAGAGACATTACTTTGCCAACAAAGGTCCATCTAGTCAAAGCTATGGTTTGTCCGGTAGTCATGTATGGATGTAAGAGTTGGACTATAAAGAAAGCTGAGCGCTGAAGAACTGATGCTTGTGAACTGTGGTGTTGGAGAAGACTCGTGAGAGTCCCCTGGACTGCAAGGAGATCCAACCAGTCAATCCTAAAGGAAATCAATCCTGAATATTCATTGGAAGGACTGATGCTGAAGCTGAAACTCCAATACTTTGGCCACCTGATGTGAAGAGCTGACTCATTTGAAAAGACCCTAATGCTGGGAAAGATTGAAGGCAGGAGGAGAAGGGGACGACAGAGGATGAGATGGTTGGATTGCATCACTGAGTCGATGGATATGAGTTTGAGCAAGCTCTGAGACTTGGTGATGCCTGGCATGCTGCAGTCCATGGGGTTGCAAAGAGTCGGACACAACTGAGTGACTGAACTGACTGAACTTCTTCATTGGTATAAAAGAGGTATTTACCTCCCAGGATTGTTATAAGAATTCATGCACTCAGAAATCTCTTAGCCATAACCCTGGTGCCTGGTAAAGGTTCATAAAACAGTGCCTACTATCATAAAACTCAGTACATTCTTGTAGAACTGAATTAGGAACCCCCTCCCCTCTTGCACACCAGGACTGAATACATGTGTTTTGTGGAAGCTAAAATCTGCTAGGAGAGAAAAGGCACCGTGTGAAGCTAAGGAGCCCAGCCCACACTGAGTTGCTTCTCAGCCTCTGCATTCCTCACCGCAGGGGCCAAGAAAGATCGTGTTCCAACACGAGCAGCGCCAGCATCAGGGCTCACAGATACTGAAAACAGGAAGTATAAACCCCACTGGCAAGTTGAGCAATGCACTGCTAACAATCTTCAGACCATTTCCCAGCCGCCTGACTGACCCCCAGTCAGCTGCTGTCTCTTCCCTGTCACAGACTTCACTCACGGTTAGCAGGGATCAGCCACTTCTCCAGTAAGCAGTTTCGTGGCTCCAGATACGACCCTGTCACTCACTTTAAGGACTACTTTCTTCTATTGTCCCCATGTACTGGACCTTGTGCTAAAGGTCCTTCACCAAGGATCTGGTTTAATCCTTGTAACTATCCTACTGATGCGGGAAGGTGCCATCCTTAGCCCCATATAACAGTAGAGAAAATGGAGGCACAGAGAGATTGGGTGACTTGCCCAAGGTAGTGTGGCTGGTAAGTTGTGGAGCCAGGCTTCCGACCCAGGCAGCTGGCTCCAAAGCACACAGGCCCAGCACTGTGACATATGACTTCTCAGCAGGGCCCCACCTGAGGGAAGGTTAGCAGTCCTCTTTCCAAGCTCCCTATTTCAGGGATGCTGGCTTTGGGGAGGCTAGGTGTGTCAGAATTTCAACCCTGGCCTAGATTATAATTCTTCTCTCTTAAAAGAATCCCAGGCCAAGTGAGCAGATCACATTCAATCACCAGTTGTAAAGTCACACTTCACCCTTCTCAAGTGAACCTCAGTATTTTTGGTTGAAACTTGATTTCACTGAAGTGGTTTTTGCTTTCACCAGAACCCCACCTTCTGAAATAGTCTGTGGCCCATTGTATTATCAGGATCTGACTTGATTTCCACTCATGCTCTGCCTTTCCCAAGCCAACCTCCCACAACAACCACACCCCTGCTTACACCCTACCACCCTCACCCCAACTTGTCCACCTTCTTCCCCAGCTGCAGACACGTGAGCCTGCCCTTTGAATCACAGTGAGAGGAGTTTGCTGAGCTCTTCTTTAAATAATAGTATTATTGGGATATACTAATTCACACACCATACAATTCACCCATTTAAAGTGTACAACTCAATGATTTTTAGTATATTCACAGAATTGTGCAGCTATCATCACCATCAATTTTAGAACATGTTTGTTACCTCAAAAAGAAACCCCATACTGGGGAAGAGGGATAAATCAAGAGCCTGGGGTTAACATACACACTCTACTATATAAGATAAATAACCAACAGGGACCTATGATATAGCACAGGGAAT